TCCATGTACACGTCGACTTATTTTCAATTTTAAAAAAAATCCCCGAATGGCACAAAAATGGTATTGCTCACTCCTTTGACTTTATCCATGTACACGTCGAACTGTTTTCACTTTGAGAAAAATCCCAGAATTGCACAAACTTGCATTGCGCACTCCCTTTACTTTGTCCATGTACACATCGATATATTTTCACTTAAAAAGTCAAAGGGGCACCCAATTCTAATAATATAGGCAAACAAAAAATACATAATCTCAATAAAATACATTTTAAACCAAACATTAAAATAACATAAAAAAAGAAAAACATGTTATACATTTAAGCACTACCAAAACAAATATTCACTTACCATGTTTTTCGAGTTCGCTTCGTACACCCAGAGCCACGTAGAAATCAAAATATCAATCATACTCAAATGACTTTTTTCAAACCAGGTACTCTTTCTGATCGAACGCTTCCCGTAGTAACCATCTGAACCTTTCTTCCTGCAAACCCATTCAAATCCATCTAAATGGTTTTTACGTTCGACTAGACGCGTATCTTTCCTACATACAGGACACTTATAATGGCTATTAAGTAAACCCACCAGTGAGTTTTCCTTTTTCGCTCCAAATCGTACAGAAACTTCAAATTAATCTTACTACATTCGGCCGTTCTACTGTCTAAAGAATCAAACCAACACACACCACAAAAATGCTTACAAAACATCCCATGATTCAAATTTTCCCAGAATTATGCACCCGATTACGTCACAATACGGTTTCCATAACATTCAACTACTCGGGCTACCATAAATGAAAGAACAAATTGGCGATAAATCAAACAACAACTTCGCCATAATACAAGGGGTACCTTAAAGTCTACTTTACCCTATGGCTGCTATCCTAAACAAAAATTAGGCTTGTCCGTTAAAAAAAAACTTTTGAATTGTTGAAAATTCCAAAATTATTGCATGCACATTAACTGTAGGCATAAAAGGCTTAACCGAAAGGTAACAACAACATAATTCAATCATTTTTAAAGCAAAAAATGCACAATTTACAAACACATGAGAATAAAGAAACTGAGCTCACTGAGCCTAGTAACAGAGTGGATATATATACATATACTGTTGGCCATTAAAATTGCAACACCATGAAGGAAAGGAAATACAAAAAAGTTATTTATTGTACGTAAAAAGAGTAAGGCATGAAGACAAAATTATTAAATTTGTAAGCGGTTTAGGGGTTTACAAAAGGGCGAAATTAGTAGGAACAACAGCCACCCCTGGTAGCTAAAACGCCCCTTACCCGGTTAGGCAAGGAGTCGGACAGGGCTTGGATGACAGAAACGGGCAACTCATTCCATGCTGTTTCAAGTCTATGCCACACTTCATCAACGGTATTAGCTGGAGAGGGGTGGCGAGCCAGTCTCTCAGCAATCCATGACAAGATGTTTTCAATGGGTGACAGATCGAGACCATGCAGGCCAGGGCAGCAATCGAATACCCTGTGTATCGACGAAGATCAGAACTTGACGTGCAACATGTGGTCATGCATGATCTTGTTGGAAGATGGCGTTTGGCAGGCCTGGAAGATAGGATGCAACCACTGGACGTAAGACGTCAGAAATGTACCGATCTGCGTTCAAATTACTGTCGATGCGAACCAGAGGTCTGCGTGTACTGTATCCAATGGCTGCCCAAACCATCACACCAGGTGCAGGGCCTCTAAGCCGATATCGAATGCAAGCAGGCCACCTGCGGTCTCCTCGAAGCCTCCAGATTCGTATACGGCTATCAGAATACCGCATACAGAACCGGGACTCGTCTGAAAAGATGAAGTTGTTTCACTCCTGTATTCCAGTTTTGTCGTTCGGCGCACCATACTCGCAGTCTCTCTCTATGCTGCATTGTCAAGGGACGCCGAAGTAATGGTCACCGTGTCGCAGTGGCTAATCACACCGATGCTGCGAATAGCTAACAGGCTATTCACACCACCTACGTTCGCGCATGCGCACAAGCAGCCCAGGTACCAGCATTTTACACCGATTTCCGGTAGCGGCATGCGGTAGTGAGAGCGAAGGTTGTTAACCCTAACTCAGCAATAGAAAGGGTTGTTAATAGTTCACCACTAAGAAAATAATTTGCAAGTAATAATTATCAGTTGCAAAGACGAGGTCAATCTATATACATGATAATGTTCAGGAAATGATTAGATAAAATAGTAATTTAATGATGGTTCTAATTGCAAGCGAGGATGAGTAATTAGTTTTAAAATCTTTAGTGTATTGACAAAAAGGCTACAGAAATTACTTAAATTCTTTTATTTACAGAGGATTTTTATGCAAACTTAGACCCTATTCTTATAGCATAGGACTGGTCAGAATTTATTATTCAAAAGAAAACTTACTGAAAATGATAATATTCTTATATATTCATCACTTTTTCAGTATCCACACAGGTTTATAGGTTCAACAAATGCCATATTTCAAATCAAAGTTATTTATGAAATAAAACCTTACAAAATCTGATAAATCATTTGTGTGTGCAAATTTTTAAATCTAAATCTCTTACATTAAATTATTTCAGTTTTTTAAATTATATCCCATTATTTATTTCAATTTAATTGATTAACGTGTTTGTACTAATATTTCAAAATTCTTTGAAGCACTTTTTGTGTCATGAAAATGCCATGTATTTCCATAAAAAAATAAGCAGGCATAGAGAATAATTCATGTAATAGTTCATATAATCGCTTTTAACTTATTTCATGTCTAAATTTTCTACACAGAAATCCGCTGTCTAATTTTTAGTATCTTTTATCGGACGAAATTTTTCAAAGAGAAATGAATTAAAGGCTTGATTGAGCAAAACACATCTTTAAAGCTAAATGTATTCTTAGAAGTACAAAAAATGTCAACACGATTTTGCCCCCTCTTCAAATCAGTCATTTAAACTATTCAAACCGTTCAGGAAAAGGATAAACATTGCGAACATAAAAATCTGCCCTTTTTTATATATACTTTAATAAAAGGAAATGTGTTCTTTCTTTTTATAAGAAAAGGAACCCATTTTCCTTTCTAAACTTTTGAAAGTCGCCAACATTTAAAAAATGATAAACTACGCCAAGGTAGAAACCCGCCTTTGACAACTCAATGCGCATGCATGGTTAATGTTGGTGCGAATAGCATCGGCCTCACCGTGCTGATTGTCCACGCTGCTGCAAACGTCGATACACAGTACGAGCGGATACTGGACGTGCTGCAAATATGCCTATTTCCTGACTAATGGTCCATTACGTGGTTGTACGCTTTTGCAGGGCTGACTTCACAATATATCTGTCCTCGGCGGTTATTCATGGTAGGGCGTTGAAATCCTGCATGCCGTTCAGTATGACCCTCAGCAACCCACTGATTTCATATTCGCATGACAGTAGTTTTATGTCGACCAGTCCGACGGGCGATACCACGGAATGATAATCCACACTTTCGATAGACACCGATCCTGCCTCTATCGAATTCCGACACTTGCTGATAAGTATTTCTTCTTATTATTCGAGGGATAACACAATATTCTGATCAAACTCCGACCTCACAAAGCGCTTTTCAAATGAGAAATCCAGTAATTAACTTTTCTTTCATGCAGTGCTTCAGATGTCGTTTCTCCCTCCTGCTTCGTCTTAAATGCGCTGAAATACTAATCAGTTACATATCCCAACATCTACTTTCCTTCGTATGATTTCGACGTGTGTCAGATTATTCCTTCCTGGTGTTGCAATTTTAATGGCCAGCAGTGTATATTTATATACTTTTGGTGCGGCCGATTGCAACGAAAATAAACGGTCCACATCTTACATGTTGTAACAGTTCTATATACAAAATTTCAATGTTCTGAGGCTACTCATTTTTGAGTTATGCGAGATATACATGCGTACATACGCCGTGAAAAAGGTCTCTCCAGAATTCATTTCAAATCAGTTTTATAAGTTTTTTTAGGGAAAAGAGTCCTTTATTCTGTCCTTGCGTACAGATGTCATGCAAAAACATCGTTAAATTGCATTTGATAACGGTCAAAATGGATATTTTCGTTGAAATATGATACCCGAAATTTTTCGGGATTACAATACTTCCTTTTTTACTTCGTACAAGGAAGTAAATGTACTTTATTCTGCTATTGTAAGAATTAAAGCAATATTGAGGGTCTTTGGTTTTGCTTCCTGAGCGAAGCGTTTATGAGAACAAAAAATTTTTAATTTCTTTTTTCTAAATAAAATGTTTTTGATGTTATTTCCTTTCATTTCAGTCAGTCACATCTTGAGAAAAAGAAGATACAATGCAAAATGCTAAAACAAATAGGCAATAAAACGTTTTGGAGAAATATTTGTTTTTAAGAAACTTTTGTAAAATATATTGGAATGTTTATTTTATAGTAAGTCTTATCTGCGAAGAGAAAATATTTTCTAGCTTGTTTTCACTCGTTGCATTTTTGGGGACAAAACCTTACACCTAGCTAATTTTGTTTTTTAAGCATTCAAGGCCTGTTTTAAAAAACATATTTGATAGAAGACTGTTTCGCTTTATTATTTTTTCAAAACTGTCTGTCATTGTGCATATACTTTATTATTCTTGCAAAATTCTCTGTCATTCTGCATTATTATGTTTGTATATTATAAATAGTTAAGAGCTGAAAACTTTTTTTCGTTATTCATTTTCCATACTTCATGAAAATTTTATTTCTAAAAACCATCTTTATTAATCTTATTCTGGTTTGTTGTTTTTCAATAGTTGCTGTTCTTATATTCATATAATCTACATTCTTATAGTCATATCCTGCAAGATATGTAAAAGATTTTTTTTTTTTTATGTTTAGTAAATATATTTTCATAATGAAGGAAAACAATTGCTTTTCTATTCATTGTTGTTAAGCTAATATGTCAAATTTTTATTAATATTTCTTCCCACGCATGATCTATTATATTAATTCTGTCAACAAGCGATGTGTAATTCTCTTTTTCTTTTGAAGACATGGCTTGGTAGTATGAAAATCAAGTCTCCTATTGGTTACTCTATACTTCTTCAAGTACTTTCAGAAGAAAATGCTCCAACTGAAGTAAGCTATTTAATGTTTCATACATTAAACTAACAGAAATGTTATTTCTGTGAGACATTGCTTTTTAATATTTAAGTATTGTGTCATTATCAAGACCTTAAAACTATCACGGTTGAAATAAAATATTTTTCAAGATTTTAAAGGAATTTAAGTGATATTGTTTTGCAATATTTTATCATTATGTCGAAGTCTGATGTACGTATTATCTTATTAGTTAACGAGCCACCGAACGATTATACCTTTTAGCTGTTTGACCTCTGTTCATTTCATACCGATTTAGGTTTCTAGCTACAAAGTGGTAGTTTTTTTCCAGCATTATCTAAATACCAGCAAATTAAATTGTGTAATTTCTTCATTGTGGCTATTTATTATATGACAGAAAACAGTGTAAATTTTCCTGTAATCAGTAAATCCGTTTTAGCCGGGTTTAAGATGAATTTATAAAAATGTACTGTTATTTTAAACAAATAATTTATGGTGCAAAATATAATTTAAATTAATAGAAAAATCATCATTTGATTATTATTGATGTTTTATACAGGTTCTGACTAAATACATAAATTCAGTGGAGAATGAAGATTTAAAAATGAGCTTAGCCAAAAAATATCGATGTCATTCTGTTGTGATAGAAGTAAGTATATCTAACTTTAATATGGTTGCAAAAAATTCGTTTGAAGATTTATATGCGTTTTAAAATCATTTCTATGTATTTTAGATGCTCAAAAACAAAAAAGATAGACTAGGTTTAATTGAATATGCGACGATTCTTCCACAGACTACAGAATTTTATACAATTTCAGATATTTTAAATAACCCTGTAAGTAATGTATTTCTTTTACTTTACATATATCATCAAAGTTTATGTTCTATTTATTTTCACATGCCCGTGTTAAATGACATAATATTAAACAACTTTCATGATGTTTCAGAAGTTGTTTTACTTTATATGTGCAATAATACTGAATGAAAATTAATAACTTACGATATTTTCTTTCTTTATAATTGCACATTTAATTTTTTTTTTTTTTTTTTTAATTTCCAGTTCTTAAAATACTGTTTTCAAAATTCCCCTTCTCCCTAAGTTTAATATAATGCATTTGCAAAGCATTGGTTTCACATTTGCTTATTTGATTTATGAATGGCTAAATTTGTTCTGAACTTAAAATTTTTAGATTTTTTCCCCTCATGTAATGTGAATCTACAAATCATAACAGATTACTAAGTTTCCTCAACTTGCATTGTAATTTTTAACAAGTACTAATTATAAGCGTGAGGAAGATGTATGCAGAATTTAATTTCCTTCTCTAACGAGCACTAACCAGAATCGAAGAAACCAGGCTATTAGAGGACTAAATAATTGATGTAGCAAACTGATAAAGTTAGTTTATGTGAAAGCTGTTAAAAACGTGTAACTAGAAGGGAAGGAAATAAAAAACTTACTGCTTGATAGCACTTTAAATATTTTGCACAGTGATAATAAGACGTAATTGCATATGAAACCGGCAGTAAAGTTCAGTGAAAATCGCTATAAGTCGATTACCCACGATTTTATAAACGGTATATCCATATCGTTCTGTAAAAGATACTAGTTTTATATAGAAGCTATAATTTTTATTTCCTGTGGACTTGGTTATCTTAAACGTGATATTGATCATCAGTTATTGGTGGTAATATTAAATCCTTGGATGGCGATTAAAGATAGCTATGGATTATCAGTTATCTGTGATAATGATTATCAATTTTAATAAATAGCGTTGTTGTATTTAAAGCTGTTGCTATATATTAAAGAAAAAAATGTCGAATCCTGAGTCTGACTGTTGGTGCCAGCACCTTTGCGCAGTCGTGTCTGTATAGTGCAGGTGGCGGCCTATTAATCGGTATAACCAGACTGCTTTACATATCCCTACTATACGAGTCTGTAAAGGCTTCGATAACGTCGCAACGTCATTACTTGTTGTTTCTCCAGGGAAATAATACAACTCCGATAACGAGGAAAAACTTTTGCAATTGTTACCTGCTTTATAAGATGCTAGTTGCACAGTAGAAATGCACACTATGATCAAAGTAACCTCTCACTGGCCTTAAGAATTTAATGATTTGAATACTCGGTACGAAGAAATCTGCATACAAAATTTCAAGAGAATCGGATCACTTTTTAAGTGTGCTTCCCGCCCTTTTTTTCAACACAAAAATATGCTGATATTAAGTTTAAGTGATTGGATTATTTTGAGATCTGAGTGTGATATTATAGTAGTATAGTTGCTATTAAAAACAATAAATTAACATTACCATTAAATGACAGGGAGCAGGTGGCAAGTTAACAATATTTTTCTATCCCTCCCCTTAAATTTTCAGTGGACTAAGTAGAAATAGCACCTAGTGCTACAAAATGTCATAAATAGACATTGCTAGAATGTAATAAATATCTATTAATAAAATGCCTAATAGAATGTCAAGCGCAATAGAATGAATATTCTTCTCCAGAACATTTCTATTGCATGCTTTCCATTTCAAGTTCAGGCATGTTGACATTTTTAAACGTGCCAGTTGCAAGGAATTGTTAATTAGTCATTATATTTTTTCTTTGCAGCTAAAGCATAGAGATACAACACCTTCTTTATGTATTATTTTATGTCCTGTGTTCTAGAACCTTTGAATGTGAATGATTTGCTGGGTTATGAACAATAGCAATGACATGTATGATCAATCCTGAAATCATAGTTTTTATTAATTACGGTAACTGTTTTAAGTAATCTGCCATGACAGATTCACTGACGAATTCACTTTGACTACACGGATATTTAAAAACAAATCTATTTCGACGATAAATATTTTCTGATTAACTGCTCTTTCCCCTAAATTTCTCGTATAAAATTGCTGTGCAGAAATTGCAAAATGTTATTTTGTTGAAGAATTATATTGCCGATTCTAATTTTCGTGCACAACACATATTGAACAAACCCATATTTAAATCGTTTATTTCTTTTATGGATAAAATTTTCTTTTTTTATACATTTATTAGCGATTTTGAATCGTTTTCTTTTATCTTTTAAAATTTTTAGACCTGCATTTTACTACGCTTAATAATTTTGCAACTGACTTACAGCAGTAGCTTCAGTAAATTTTAAGTATGTTATTAAATTTAATGATGTTATTTCTTGGTTTGAAGGCACCTTAGAAGAGCCTAATGAAGTTAAAAATAACTATAATGAACATGCATGCATGAACTTAACTGTGAATTTAGAAAATAACGTGACTTATTACAAACTGAGCAATATGTGAAGGCCACTTGAAATATTGTGTGCAGACATGAAAATAATTAGGTTAATATAAACAGCATGGGAGAATGAGTGTATCATAAACACCCATTTTGAAACCTATAGATTACTCGGAATTGTTCATTAATTGGTATTAAAATTCTCATTGGAAAGTCCATGATTAATCAGTAAGCAGGGATGTAAATTATGTTCCCCTTATTGATGTATAACTTCTAGTATGAACAATATGGGAAAATGAGTGTATCATAAACACCATTCAAATCTATATAATAAATTGCTCCATTAATTGGTATTAAAAATCTCATTGGATAGTACATGACATACAAATTATGTTCTCCTTATTGGCGTATAACTTCTTCAAGATAGGTAGCTCTCGTGTTAACAGCCCTCAATGCTCCCTCAGGTCTGTGGATGATTATGCTGCAAATCAGAACGAATTTATCGTCTTGGAAACGTTTTCGATGTCAAAACTACGTTATGTGGAGCTCTGCATTTCCTTCTAGGAATACTCGTACTTTCAGTTCTTTGTGTACATCAATATCTAGGACATTTTCAGGCAACCGTGGAACCCTTTAGTAATTGCTTTGATTGCTTCGTATGGGAGTGTCATTAAATGCAGTGCTAACGGCCATTGTAACTTTTTTCTTGGAATTGATAAAAGATTTATGTTGCTGAGTGTCCCTGCACTTCTAAAAAGGTATAAAGCGCAGAGATGAATATATTGAGCATGTCTTGCATACTGACTAGCCATGACCTTCAATCAGCACTCTTTAACACCCACTTTTCTATAATGTTGTTTTAAAATTTTTATGAGCCATTTTCAGTATCTGACATTTCATGCTGCACTCTATATTTGTAACATTGTAATGTCACTGTGTTACCGTTGAGCTTTAAAATTATTGACTGCTTGTCATGAAAACATACAGTAGAGTAAAAGAATGTTGAATGTTATTCATAAAGTCTATTCTGTATTTAATTTCTATCTCTTTCTTTTCAGGGAGTTAAATGGAAAAACTAAAGGACAATGATTAATTTGCTTTGCATTCCTAATCTGCAGAATCTGGCATAGCTTAAATCATTACTTATAATAAGATTGATAATGAAAAGTGGACAGACACATTTCCATTAAAGGTGCTTCTTTCAAAACAAAGATCCCCATGTTTTTCATGTAATAATTTAACATTTCTTCATTGGGTTAAGAAATTGTTTCTTTTTGATCCGTTGGCGATTCTAGATGAGATAGGTATATCAAGAGAGTGATCTCATAATAATCTTATTTCATTATTTTAGACTATATAATTCTGAATTAGAATCATTTCTCACAAAAATTATTTTAACCCTTTTTTGTGATCGATAAATCTTCAGTTTATCGATAACATCAAATTACCCACCCCACCTCCGATGAAGATGTATTAACTCATTATGAGAAAGTCATTGAGAAAAGTTCATTGTGTAAATGTTGAGAATATTCTCAAAAATGGAAAAGATCTCATTGCACAGTTGCTACAACAAAATTCTGGCTTCTTATGAGATGATACAACAGCCAGGAACACTAACCACTATACTGATCAAGGCGGTACGATTGTAAATAAAAAAGATTATGCAAATCAGGAAGAACATGTGATGACCTTCTGCAAAGTTTCGCTGAGGATTGCCGAGAATGTTTTCATGGCGTCATCACATGTAATGAAATTTGGCCATTTCATATCAATCCCAAGTGCAAAAGGCAGTCTATGGAATGGATATGCACTCGTGTTAAGGATACAAAGATGGCTGTACAGCAAATAGATCATATATTTTGCAACATTTTCAAAGGACCAAGGCTTCTACCTACAAAATTTCATTTCTCTAGTCCTTATCATTATCTACAGTAAAATGTGTGTTGCCTTTTGACCGACATTTGTACGATTTATGTGAAAAAAAAAATTATAATACAATAAAATTAATCCAGTTTAAAAATTTAACGTTCAGTGAATTAAAATTAATTAAGTTTAACCTTGTTGTGCACATTAAAACAGAAAGACAATTAATAAAGATTTCAAAAATTTCAAATTAAAAATAATGGGAAAATGGAATCAGAACTATTATAAAAAAATTTAAAACCTGCGTACTAAGTATGCAAAAGTTTTGTTAAATTGCAAAGAAACTGTGCAAACTGTAAAACACGTAATTTAGTTGAAAGAATTTTAAACAGATTCACTAGAAAAACCAAATTAAAGACATAAATGCCCCAAAATTAAAAAAGATATAAGTAGATTTCGGAGTAAATGCAAAAGTGTCAACTAACATGAGTACAGTATTGATCCTCTGGAATTCTTAGCATTCCTTTACATTTTGTAAGCTGCATAAATGGGGCTGGTACAAAAAGTAAGGTGTAAGAAATTCATATTATTTAAAATTTGAGAAAAATTTTAGTAATGCTGTGGGGGATTACACTGAGCTGTAGCCTCCAGCACTTGTGACTGGCCTGCCTCCAATCTATCAACAATTCTCCATCTCATTCCGTCATCCATACATTCGAGGCTACTCGTTTTACCTGATACTTTATAAAATCTATTCAACTGTTGTGAGAAACAGCGAAATTCATAAACGAGTAGAAGCACACACATTGCAGTAAACCCCTCGTGCACTTATATTCCCTCCACAGTCACAGCTCTTCAGACGCTCATGTGTATTCAACTTTAAATGTTTGCTCAAGTCTTCGGTGGCATAATTAGTATAGTTCAACTGCCTATTGCACAACCCTGGTTGGCATTCTGCCAAAACACATAGACTCGTCCAAAAGGAAGCGGTATTACTTGCTGCGACGTGAAAGGTCTTCTCTTCGCCGGAAAGAGCTATGCTGGAGGGAAAGAAAGTCCCCATCCTACCACCCTATTTTGAGAATAATTCGGTCCGAATGGCGCATGCGTGTTTGCGCTCATGGTCGCGGATGAGGCGGTCGAACTATAGTATCTTTATTTCAAAACTTTTTATAAAAATAGACGTAATTTGCTGATTCTCTTTTGCACATGAGTGTATCTACGGGTAATATTGTTTCATGGAGAACAAATAAATCACACCAGTGGCCGAGCGGTAAATTCGCTGAACACTGGTAGCTCGGTTCGAGGTTCGAATCCCGTGATCGGGCTGGTTGCATGGGTGTTTTCGTAGCTTTCCTCATGTGTAATGTGTATACGAGCCAGTTTCCCTTAGAAAGTCATCCACAAAGGCATCCCTCAGGCAGATAGCCCTCGAGGCTTTGCCGTAATTAAATAACCTAACAAATAAATCAGTATTGCATATTTCTAGCAAAATTTCATTATATTTTCTATTTGAACAATTTCTGTAATATTGCTTTTAGTGAAAAGATTGCATTATGTGTTTGTTTGCAGTTTACAAAAATATTTTCTTCAAACTCTTTAATAAGACCTAATGTTACAAAAGTAGAAAATTATGTTTCAGAATTTCCATCCTGAAAAAGAGTTAGGCGTATTGAAGCGCAGAAAATCAATATCATCAAATTTAAATACCAAGTAGAGAACTACTCAGAATATTTTAAAATACAATACACTCAAATCGGTATAGCATATAAATCAATCATGTATTTATGAATATTATTAATGTTTGCGTTATATGGAAATATTTTCGAAACACCTGTAAAATTGCCATTATAGTTTTTTTTTTTTTTCTAAAATGCAGGAAAGGTTGACTTGTAAAAATTTCCTTTAAAGGCACCAAATTTAAAAACATAAACATAATGTGTTTACAGTTATTCCAAAATCTAGGTATACCATCAAAAACAATCAAATATTGTACTTTTATATGCTTCTAGTTTGAAGTTATGGCAATTCCGATTTTCTAATGTGCTAGAAAAAACATTTTATCAGTTAAACCAGGAGGTGACTTACTAGGATACGTGGAGCATAACTAGTCAAAATATAGTTTAAATGCTCTAAATTTCAATGAAAATATTTATGCAAGTAGAGGCCTACTAGTATTACAGTTGTGCTATATGAATTAATGAACTGTAAACAATGATCCATTTCTATTTTATCCTAATACATTAAAGGCCGGAAGTCGTAGTACTATGATTTATCTCAACTGTAGCTAGCGCATCGCCACTTTACATTTGTATTTAGTATGTTTTTGTGGTTTGAAGTTGTTTGGTTGTTCAAATTCTACTTACAATAAATTTTGAAATCCTTCAATATGGTTTCACGTGAAAATAAAGATATATATGCAGACGATTTGATGGACATTGAAGAGCCACAACCTGGTACATCGATTAGCACCATGGACTCCATGATATAAAATTAATCCACCTGGACGTCTTTTGCTACACATCAAAAAGCACAAATTAATTCACATAGAAAATAAAGGCAAAAAGCTATATGCCCAACGAAACTGCGTAGTTTGTGCGGCACATAAAAAAAGAAAGTTGACTTGCTTTCAAATGTGGTTTGCAATGCACCTCTTCACCATGGCAAGTTTATCACATTATCACACTCAAAAAAAATTCTAGATTCTTCTCATAAATATGTACTTTAAAACATTTTTGTAATTAGTTGTTTTATTCTTTTTTAATATTTCTTGTAGTCTTAAGAGTTTAAATAAACTTTCTTAAGTCTTAATTTTTTATGATTACACAAAATATCGCCCACTCTAGGACGAAAAACGAGGCGAAGCAGCTGCCACGATACCTAGCATACTTTCGTCAAGATCCCCCGCCTTAAATGTGTTAATATGGTATCATTTTCAGCAATGATGTTTCTTAGATCATCGATCAAAAAGGAAAACGAAAAAGGTTTCAAAATCTTAATTATTTTCTTAATAGTGAATGCGAAATTGTGTGCATTTTTTATTTTAGACTGTCCCAAGGTTTGCATATTTTCAAAGTGAAAACTGAAATTCAGTTATTGGTGCAGTTTGTTAAAACTTTATGAGTGCTCCCCTCCCAATATTCTAACTGTGTGTTTAGTCAGCAGTGGGGTAATTAATTGCAGGTCGTGTTTTCCTAGGAGCTAGCATTCGACGTACATCCAGAATAATAGGCTGGCATTTATTCTTGAACCTGAAATAGTGTCTGCTCTTCAGGATGCCCTCAAGATTAAAAATGGCTTCAAATTTTGATTCCGAACTTTTTATCTTGAGATAGTAAACTAAATAACAAAGAAGTTGCAGTAACCTCTTTTTTGCGATCCATTTACTCAGACATAAGAGGACTGAAGTTGAACCATCACACTTAATCATGACGTAGCTGCGAGAAAGCTATTTTGAAAGATCACTCATTATTTTGAATAATTTAAATGTATAACTATATTATGAGATGTACTTAATCGCATTAAGATGCATATTTCTGCCTTAGACTTTTTTGTATTGCTATTTCTGAAATCAATATTATAATATTGTGGCAGGTTCTTGTTAATATCTTTATATTTCTATGCAAATGTATGTATAAATGCTAGTGATTCTTATATTAAAAATAAATGTTACTTCTAGTAAGTGATATGTGCTGTTTATTTCTATTTGTATACAGATATATAGTGAAACTGTTGTTTAGAGACCACTGATTTAAACAACAGGTTGTTATAAGAATATTATTAAAAGACGAAAATGTACTTTTAATCCAACAAGGTCTTGCTGCTGTTTTTCAAAATGGCTTATGGTTATCAATGCTGTGCTATATGTTAAGATACTTTAAGAAACTAAGCAATCTAATTTCTTCAAGGAAAAATAGCAATACATTAACTTCGAATGATAAATTTTAAGGTTTTATTAAAAAGAGCAGCATTTGGAAGAATAGGGTGGAAAATTATTGGAAATATTGACTATCGATAATTTTATAACTGAAAAAAATTTAAAACTTTAAAGTTTCTAAATTTTTTATAAGCCACTTAAAAAACTCAGATACACAGTTTTCAAATCCTTTACATCGAATCTCAAAAAGTTATCTTAAGATTCAAAAACTATTCTTGATTGACATTAATGAAATTGATGACCAGCCATATAAATGCAAGATAGATTTGTTGAGCAGTCATATAACATAAACTTAAGCCCACAAAAATTCTACACTGAATTCTAGATTGGAGCTAGAGCTGAATTTCTCATAATTTCTGAAATGGCATTAAATATTCTCCTGCCATTTAGCACCATGTACTTATATGAAACATCTTTTTCAGATTTAACGGTTATTAAATCCATATATCATTCAACACTGAAAAACACTGAAGATACTTTACATCCAATAGTGTCAAATATTGCAAAAAGATGTAACTTCCTATGCAGCAAAAAACAAGCATATCCGTCTCGTTAAAATGTGATTTTCCTTAATTTTTTTATACTTGAAACAAATGCTAAAACTAATTCCTTTCATATATATGTAGTTTATTAAAGAAATAAATAATTTCATATTTAATATCTGGGGTCGGGATAAAATCTCTATGATAAAAAGTGGTCATGAATGAATAAAGTTTAAGAAGCGCTGAGTTACAACGTGTTTATTCCCATCTTTAACCCATGAATGGTTATTTATAAAGTAAACAGTACATTTACGTTGTGTCACTAAATTGACTAAATTTAATTTTTAGCTTGGTAATGTACAATACATCATTAAGTAATATGTATTGTGATATTGTGAAGTTAAATTGACTATTGTATAAACTTCAACTTTCCCATTAACTTCTACCAGTTCATTATTTGCTAACTGAATACTTTCAGTTTCAGCTACTGATGCGAATTTATTTCTGTCATTACACATGCATACAGTTGCTTCTGAATCAGATACCATTTATGTGTTCCTAATTCCCACGTTGTATTGATAATGCTGAGAGAACTACTTTTTGTCGTGGATTTTTACTTTTTCTGCATTCTGACACGTTTCGCCCTTTTCTCTTCCAGTTATAGCATCTAAAGATTTTGTATTCTTAGATTTTACTTTCACTTTGCTGTGGTATTTAGTAACTAATGCATCCCTCACTTTAAA